TATAGAGATATATATATATATAGAGAGAGAGAGATAAATATATATATATATATATATATATAGAGATAGAGAGAGAGAGAGAGAGAGAGAGAGATAGATAGATATTGTTAATTAAAATAAAGCTAAAATTAAAATGTAAATATTAGATCAAAAACTTTAAAATTGAGAAATATTGCATTGGCAAATAACTAAAATAAGTTTAGGTTGAGAAAATAATGTTACGACTTGGTAATTAATTAATAAAAATGACAAAACATATAAGACAAAAAAACATATCATTACTTACTAAGTAAATAAACTGAATTTAAAATGATAAATGAAAATATAAAAATAAAAGTAAAATCTAAATATTCATAAGCTCTCGGATTTCATCAAAAATAACTTAATTTGTGTTCCGAAGATGAACGAAGGTCTTCAGGTTTGGAACGACATGAGGGTGAGGGTAATTAATGACAGAATTTTCATTTTTGGGTGAACTATCCCTTTAATGTGACAAGGTGTAACGGGGTTGAAGACTGTAACACATTTGAAGGCATACATTGCCTTCAATTTTAATTTTTGGTTTTGTTTCTCTCTCATATTGTCCCCTTCTTTCTGGGTCAACATATCTGCATGGCCAACAATGCAACATGCAAATGTGGGTGCAATTTCTGATGTATGATGCTTGTCAATGTTTAAGTGGACATATTACATCAAAAATTCTATTTAAAACAAAAATATGAGTTGTCATGATTTTGGAGTATATATATTTACTGAAACCATGACTATTTTATATATATTTTTTTAAATAAAATGATTAATATATATATATAGCTTGTCAATGTTTAAGTGGACATATTACATCAAAAATTCTATTTATAACAAAAATGAGTTGTAATGATTTTAGTAAGTATATATTTACTGAAACCATGACTATTTTATATATATTTTTTTAAATAAAATGATTAATATATATATATATATATATATATATATATATATATATATTAGTGCTGTCAAACGATTAATCATATCAC